CCTGCGCGGGGCCCTCTGGGAAACCGAGTCCCGTCGCACGGCCCGCGCCTCCGGCACTGTGCACTCTGGACTCCAAGTCCCGGCAGGGCACGCAGGCCGCCTCGGGGCGCGCTGGGACTTGGAGTCCCGCGACCAAAGAGGCGCTGGACTACATATCCCGGCAGGCTGCAGGGCGGGCAGCGACGGCAGGGGCGTTGTCTGGGTCGCCGGGCGCCCGGCGTGGGCATCGGGTCCGAACACGCCCGCAAGCCGTGGAAAGCGCCGGAGCCCCACCCGTTCCGCTCGCGCCCCGAGCCTGACTGACTGCCCCGAGACAGCCTAGTCCACGCCTTCACACACACATACACACACACACACACACACACACACGTCCACACCTGACACCCTTTGTCTGCACCTGCACCTCTGGTTCATACCTGGATGCCCTCGTGTCTGCATCTGGATGACCTCTTGTCCATACCTGACCCCTCTCTTTTGTCCATACTTGGCCCCATCCCTTGCCTGCACATGCAATCCCTTTGTCTACACTGGGACCCCCCACCCCCACCACCACCCCACACACACACACAGCAACCAACCATGAAGCACAACTTTCCTGATTTTAAACCACTCAATAGCCTCTTATTCTGTCAAAGATTGCCCCTTGGTCCGGGTACAGGTTTCTCATGAAGTGTCCCATTCATGGAAATGTTCTCCAGTAGTCCACCAGTACAGTGGCATCTCTGCCTTCAGCCAAGGCGCGTCTGAAGTCCGCAATGATCTATATCCCTCGTTCTACATTCTCTTCTGCATCCAGCGCCCGTCACTCATTGCTGCAATCGTTCTTAAAAATTAGTTTCGGCCACATTTTACTTGCATGTCATTAGAGATGATAGTTTTTTATGATTTCCACCCAAACATTAACCCACATTGATGCACCTGCTCACACAGCCATCTCAGTGCACCAGTTTTTTGGCAAAAAAACCCAGCATGCCTCTCTTGCCCCACACACCTGACTCAGCTGACCTCTCTCCGTGAGACTTCTTTTTGTTTCTGTGAATGAACAGGGTCATGAAATGACATGGATTTGGCGGATGAGCCCTACAGGACCAGTGGTGTGAGTGGCGAAACAGGGAGGGTAGAGGGAGAATGGGTAGGAAAGAGGGAACCGATTACAAGGAACTATATGTGACCTCCTCCCTGGGGGACGGACAACAGAAAAGTGGGTGAAGGGAGATGTCAGACAGGGCAAGATATGACAAAATGACAATTTATAAACTATCAAGGGCTCATGTGGGAGGGGGGGGTGGGAGGGAGGGGAAAAATGAGGACCTAATGCCGGGGGTTTAAGTGGAGAGAAAATGTTTTGAGAATGATGTGCAAATGCGCTTTACACAATTGATGTGTGTATGGATTGTGATAAGAGTTGTATGAGCCCCTAATAAAATAATTTTAAAAAAAGAAAGAAATGACATCGATTTAAGGGTGTAGAAGAGATGGAGAAAAAAACAAGGGAGGTGCTGTCAGCCATCCAAACAGATGAGTTTGAAAAATGTTTCCAAGAATGGAATCGCAGATTTGACAAATGTATTTAGTGCAGTGGTTCTCAAACTTCCTAATGCAGCAGCCCTTTCATACAGTTCCTCATGTTGAGCTGACCCCCCAACCATAAAATTATTTTCGTTGCTACTTCCTAACTGTAATTTTGCTACTGTTATGAATCAGGTGACCCCTGTGAAAGAGTCGTTGGACCCCCAAAAGGGTCGTGACCTACAGGTTGAGAACCACTGACTCAGTGTCATGGAGAGCACGTTGAAGGAGGTAAGATTGTTTTGTAAAAAATTTAAATGGGGGGGGAGGGGCAGGGAGGGAAGGGAAAAATGAGGAGCGGATACCAAGGGCTCAAGTAGAAAGCAAATGTTTTGAGAATGATGATGGCAACTGTATTAATCTGGGTACTTTGGAGAAACAAATCCACAAAAACTCATGTATGAGAGAGTTTATATAAAGGTTAAGTGAGCATCAAGAAAACATCCCAACCCAGTGCTGCCCAAGCCCACAAGTCCAACAACTCTTATGTCCAACACCAATCCAGAAAGTCCTCCTCCATCTCACAAAACAGATGCAATGATGCCGACTGCAGGAGGAAAGCCCAGTCAGTGAATGTGTAAGCATCTCAGCGCTGGCAGGGGTCTCCACACAGCTGCCCCAGCACCCAGGGCTGCATCAGGGTAGGTCCATGTGGCTTCTCCTTGGGGATGTCTTGCAGGAAGTCAGCCTTGCAAGTTGAATCTGGGAACTGCTAAGGCAGCTGCACCCTGGTGCGACCATCAGAAAGCAAGAGACCCCAGAACTCGAAAGGCAAGGCTCACCAAGCCATTTATCCCTCCGCCCTTCAATTAATTCCACATGTGTTTATCGGCTAGGTTGGCACAATAAACTAACTCAGCAACAAATGTACAAATGTGCTTGACACAGTGGTTGGATGTATATAGATTGTGATAAGAGTTACAAGAGCCCCCAATAAAATGATTTTTTTTTAAATTTAAATACATAGCTTGGGTGAAAAAGTTCCAGTTTTTTGAGGGTACCCCCTCATATAGTCACTCACACTCTCACACACCTACATGTGCACACACACTCACATTACACACATGCACTCATACACATCCATATTCACCCATACTCATACATACACACTCACACACACATACACACATGCACATACACTCGCACACCCACACTCACACACACACATACCCCTTACATGCACTCACACATTCACACACACATACACATGTGCGCGCGCACACACAGGAATGCTACACAGCTGTATAGGACAAGGAGGCGCGCGCACAACCTCAGCCCTGAATAAGCCTGGCGGAGGTTGTGCTGTGTGAAATCGGTCAAGCACAGACGGACAAGCACCCAGTTCCAACCCACCAGCCTCGGAAGAAGGAAACGGCCAGCCCGTTCCAGGTTCACGGCCTCAGAAACCGCCCTGCCGCCACAGTGCGTCAGAGAGGGTGGCTGCTGTTCGCTACGAAGGAGGGCCCAATGCCACAGAGAGCCGCTGGAGGGCAAAGTTCAGCAGGGCGGAGGGGGGGGTGCAGGAGGAGTGGAAACAGGACACAGGGCAGCGGAAGTGGAGCAGGTGAGGGTAATCTGGGCGCCGGGACGGAATGTGTCTGAATTGTTGAGTGGTGGGTCTGTGAGCCTCACCCACCACACAGTAAAAACTTCAGAGGGGAACGGCCTTCAGCAGAGTGCCCCTTCAGATGAGGGGGGTGAGGCTGTCCGACCTCCTCCTCCTCATTCCCACTCACCACCATGGAGGCGATGCTGACTGACCAACCACCACCCTTGCCCCAACTGAGTGGACTGTCCCCGTGGGCTCTGAGACGGTCCCTCTTGTTGGGAAGGACCATCCCCAGAGAAGGACAGGATGCTTGGGGAACCAGAAGGTCAAAGGAAAGGGGGGCCCCGGTAGGCGGGGTGGGCTCCGAGGTGGCTGCAGCAGTGAGCATCCCCCCCACCCCCCCAGCAGTCTAAAGTTGTTTGGTGTCAGCTTCCTCAGGTGAGCGAGTGGCCAGATTCCCACCACAGGGGCCCTCAGGACAGGGCAGAATTGGCCCGAAGGGTGACCTGGTGGGTGCTGATTGGCCAGTCCTCCTCCCACAGAGCCTTACTGGGCTCAGGACCCTAGGTGGTCACCAGTGGGGGCACCCCCAGGGCCCTTCAGAGCCGCCACCCAACAATTCTTGACCATTGTGTCCCCAACGGACAGAGAATACCTGTCCTCTAGAGCCCCCTGGGCTTAGAGTCTTCTGGAAATGGCTCTGTGGCTGGCAGGCGAGAAGCCCTGGCCTTTTGGTTAGTAGTCAAGGGCTTTAACCAGTGAGCTGCCCGGGCTCCCAGAGAGCCCTTGCGGGGAGTCAGGGCTTCGCTGGGGGAGCACTTTTCTGAAGAGGAGGGACAAAGTGAGGCACAACCACTGCTGTCTGAGATGCCGGCTGATCCAACCCTGGGTTCTCCTGACAGACAGACAGACAGACAGACGGCAGTGGAAACAGAGCCTCATCCACCAAACATGCCAGGCAGGTGGAAGCCAGGACAGCAGAGAGTAGCTGAGGGGCTCACCACACTGAGCCTCCGTCTGCCCCTGCCCAGAGGGCCTTGTCTCTGAAGGTCACCTTGGTGGACAGACGCCCTCCCCAGCAGCCACCAAGCGGTGACGTTGCCTAGAGCATTGACAGCTGGAATCGGCCACTGCTGAGCTGGTGGGCAGCCCCTCTGGGGCGGGGGTGGGTCTGCACAGGCCCCTGCACACATGTGCAGAGGTGTTCGGCAGCTGTGGAATCGATCAGAAGATGTACCCTAGGGGCATTGCTAGCACCGCAAAGGCAGATGTGGGCAGACCCAGAGGCCCAGGGCTGGGAGTCAGCGGGGCCAGTGAGGGACGGGGACATGGGCCTGCTGAGACTGGGGATTGAGGGATGCCCATTTTGGGAAGACGCTACTGTGGGGCCGGGAGAGACGGCAGGATGGACGCACCAGAGTGGAGATCCAGGGGTTGCGT